GAAGCTTTCAAGTGATAAATTGACGGCGGAACCTCGTAGCGCGTAAAATGATCATCACTCGCGTCGAAATAGGCCACGGAGCGCCGGTAAGTGTAAGTGCGTCTCTGTTCCATGTACAGACGACTACGCACAACGCAGTGTAGGTGTGGCGTGCTCCAATTATTGAATAGGCTATTTAAAAAATACCCGTCAAGAGCCAACCGATGAATCACCGTTTTACTTATGGCATTTATGTTATAGTTTAATTTCATGAGACTAAATAAGACTGCATAATTCTGAAAAACATTTTTTGAGCGGTTTTGCGGTGCGGTCATGAGTGATTTTATTGATGACATTTGACAATAATTTAAAAAACTTTCATGTGTTTGTGGTTTACGTTAATCCCGGTAACTATCGTAAGGCTGCTTTTCCACCAGAGATGTGCGAGGATGCGTAGCGATGGATGTATTTGTTAAGAACCAATAGAATCTTTTCATTTGCCTAGCCTCGCTTAGGGCAGCTCTAGTGGAAACGGCTCAGCGGAGCGAGGTTTTGTACATACAAAACAAGGAAAGAATGTGTGCGAAGGATGTGTTGCTAGGGATGTGACGGCCGCGGGTTCAAATCCTGCACGGGACAAGTGTTTGCCTGCAAATAATTGTTTCGGGTCTGGATGTTTGTCCTTGTGCAATTTGTGTTTGTAAACTGCCTCCACGATACAGGAGAAAATCCTAGTGTGGGGGTAACGTTTTTTAAACTAAAATAAGAAAAAAAAAACAAATAAGCATATGTTCTCTACTACGCTACGTATTCTCGCACCGCTCAGCAGCCTAGTACATCTCTGGTGGAAACGCTCACACCGTTCCACAGCGCCTCACTACGCATCCTCGCACCGCTTAGCTACCTCGCACATCGCTGGTGGAATCGCAGCCTAAGGGGCGACAGACGGAAATGAAACGTGAGTAGGGCTGCAACATCTTCCTTATAATGACACAAAATAATAAAATTTGTGGTTGCCAAAAACTTTTGATCAAAAACAGATTTCAATAACTACTAATCGTAATTAATTATTGATATGAAGGCGTCGCGCATTATAGTATAATATAGTACTGCGCCCGCTCTCTTGGCAGCACCGCCTCCGTTTTATAAATACCAAGTTAGCGCCGGATGTGACCGCGTGCTTGTGCCCTACACTGTTGTTACTTGTAAAACTATGATTACCAACAAAAACTTAAATTTGAGCATTTGAATGTAATTGATTTGTATGTCTGTGGTACTTATTAAAAAATACGCTTTTTTACTATTATGATGTCGAAAAGTACACACGAAACACTGCATTGCTATGGGAATTAAAGGCAAAGCAATAATAAATGATATTATGTTTAAAGGTACTCGTATGTAATCTATTACAACGTCGTCTACTGTAATTTGTGTTGTTTTAAAAGTGATCTCGTATGTAAACAGTAAACACTATCCAGCAAGTTGTAATGAGCGAGAACTTAAAGGATATAGGAGCGATAGTGTTACATCGATGCATGTGAAGTGTGAACACACTTGCTTACGATATTGTAAATAGAGAGCTTACTTACTTGTGCTACTCGTATAATATTTTTACATCGTAGTCATTTTTATAGTAAGCAAAGGGTAAAAATAGAAAAATAAACAATGGAAAGGTTAATTTTTTTTTAATTTTCTCTACCCATATAAGGATAATATGCGCGTATAAAAGACATAATAATTTGAGATAAAAATATACAACCCATGAAATTTAGCAACGTTAATATTATTCTAGTTTACTCTCTAGTTTACTGTTATTAGTTATTGTGAATGTCATTTCGGCTGAATATGGTAGTCTAAAAGTTGAATCCAGTAATCCTTCTCAGTGGAAGTAGGCGCTATGTTTGAAATCGACGTGGAGGATATAATAGTCATTAATACCATATTAGATTCTAGTTTAAAATGAAGCCTTAATTATTTTGACTTTTAATCGCTTTAAATTTATAGATTTTTAGTACGCTACGTAGTTACGTATCACATTAAAAACTATAATACAGTTTTAATACACTAGTATTTTAATAAGTTTTGCTGCCCTAATGCGATAAAAACTTAATTGAAAATTAATTGAAAATTACAGCACTGGTAGTAAGTAAGGCATCTTTTATTGACAGGATGATTGGTTTAATGCGTTGAAATTATAGATTCTGTTTACTAAATGGTATTGTGTATACGTCACTGCATTTATTATCTCACTATCATTTATGGCGCTATGATAAAAATAAACGGAAGGACATTTTTTATCACATTTCTATGTCGGCACAGTAAATAAACATTGATTGATGGCGATGTAGGATTCAGCCACTTCAGATTACCGAGACAAGCTATTATATATATACCCGCAAGCTATTATATACGTAAACAAAACATCGTTAGTATTATGAGTCGCTAAGTTGTAAACATGGATTGCTAGCAAATTATTATAAAAATAAAAAAATAAATTAAAGAAAAATCCTACAATAACTTTAATATTGAATCTGAAGGAGCCTATGTTTGTCGTTTTTATTTGAGTCTATTTTATAGTAAGCAATTCTTGTATATTATATGAATAATTTATGAAATTGGTTTTTGGAAATGGCTTTAACGTTTTGGATGAAATTTTGTTATTTGTATTTATACACGTAATATTTTACTTTTCAATATTATAAATAATTATTAATATAATAGATATGTGTCATCATTTGTAAGGAAGTTACATATTTTCTGAAACACAGCAGAGCTCGTTCGTTTAGGGTTAGTCCCTGTCAGCCAGCCAGTCCCTAATAAAAACGACAATATGATTGATTGACTTTTTGTTTCGGGAGACTTCAGATATAATAAAAAAATATAGTTCTATTCGAAGGCATAACTCGTTACCATCAATTATTGATAGTTATTTTAAAGATAAAACGTAGAACCGAATTAAGTAAGCAGATGGTGTATGAGTATGTATAAAATCCGTAAAACGTAAAATATTTTTTTTGTCTTGCCTATTTATGGACATTTTTCAATATAATTCAGGGACCTAGATATTTTGCCTTACTTCTTACTTGTATGTAAGTTAATTCGTCCCAGTGACAACACTATTTCCAAGAATGGAGGAAGAAGCAATATCGTAAATTGTGGTATGCCTAAAATAAACAATTTTGTCTCGCATTATTGCATTTCTTACGAAATTTTATTTTAACGCAACAGCCTGAGTATTACACATTAGTTTAAATGTGATGTGGACGCTTTATATAGTACGGCTTAACTTTCACATTTGCCGCGTAGTAAACCCACGTAGATTTTTGTCTCGATTGTTGATTCAATTGTCGGCAATTTCGCTGTTCTAAGACGTAATTTTTTTATTAATACGGATAAAGAGAACATTTACTTTTTAAACAGGCCTAATAGTTAACACAGTAATTAAAAAAAACCGAATGCTTAAAAAGTTTACTGAAAAGATGATTTGTTTTATACATATACCCCATGTCACGTCATACCCACAATGAGGGCTAATCATTTTCTGCTCACCAGCTAGTTGCTAGTTGACACTGAGGTAAAGTTTATTGAGAAGTTGGTTTTTAATAAAAGTTTATCAGTTTCTAGAGTATTAAATTAATACACAAAGCAATGTGTCAGTGGTTTGCTCTTTTTTTAAGTTTTCTACTTTTATGAAAATCTGTGGTTTGGTTTATTTATTTTTAATCTTATTAATATAAAATATAGCTAATAGTACAGAAAGAAACAGTAACCTTTATATTTTTCGTACAAATTAACTTCCCCACTACGAAATCTGTCAAATATTATAACCTCACTTTTAAGTGGCGCCGTCCTGGGGGCAGAAAAAGTCGTGGATGCCCTCATTAAGACGAAATAAGCGCCACCTCTTTGTTAAAATCCATCAAGCCATTTAGACTACAGAGCGTGCCAAAGAAATAGACATTTTATACGTGGTAGAGCCATGCTGCAGCTATATTAGTAGTATAGTTGTAGCTTGAATGGGTCGGCTCGACCGGGGAAGGACCACGCTCTCACAGAATACCAGCGTAAAATAGCAGCTTAATTAATGCTGCTGTGTTTCGTATGGTGAGTGTAGAGAACCGGAGACCCTTATTACTGGAAAAGAGGCATTCCATCTTAATCCTCACGGGTGACAACGCATCTGCATTTTGAGTCTTTATTGAGGATATATGTAGATGTCTATGGGTCACAGTAACCACTTACCATCAGGTGGACTGTTTGCTCGTTTGTCACCCAATCCTATAAAAAAAAATACTGTAAAAAATGTTTAAATTATTCAATTTAATTTTTAAGCTCAAAGTATTGACTTGTAGGGCTTATTTTACGGGTAAAAATTAAAATTTTTATTATCAGCATGTTATTTCTTAACGAACTGTATGTTATACAGGGTACAGGGTTTAACAAAGGAGTATATCATCCAAAGCAGGAAGAAAGATCACCTCAATTATCTTTCGATTTAACCTATGTAATAACTTCATCGCAACACATTTTATTTAGTCTTTTCTAATTTGGTTAGAGTCTAAACTACATGCTAATCTATGAGCTCTACATTTTATTTTTTCGGATAGTGGTTCAATACTGGGCCTTATATGCAGTAACATTTCATACATAATATGATGAAAATTATTTAAATTATATTTCAAATTCTAATTACGACTATTATGACCATATTTTTTTACAAAGTAATTAAAAAAGTAAGTAACTCTACTCAAATTTGACGAAACGAAATATGATTTTGAACTTGATTAACATTACAGAATATATTTCGCGGTTTAAGCGCTTGGTATTGAGGTCCTTGCTTGATACATGTTTTGAATGATTCATTCCAACAGCTTACTGTTAATAAACTATGACAACATCAATTGTTGGTAAAAAATTTCGTAACACATCAACATCAATACAGAACAATAAGTAACAGAGTTTATTGAAAGTTATTATTTTAGGTCCAAGATTTGAAGTGATATTTCTTATTTCTTTTTCAGCCCTTTTTTTGGCGAAGAGTTCCAGTTCGAAGTACCTCGAAGATTCCGCTACCTCTCCATATACGTGTTCGACCGCGACAAACATCTCAAACAGGACAAAGTGTTGGGCAAAGTGGCGATCAAACGCGAAGACTTACAACGGTATAACAACAAAGACCATTGGTTTGCATTGCGACCGGTCGATGCAGACTCCGAGGTGCAAGGCAAGGCGTACATCGAACTCACTCTCGAGGATTCAAGAAAAAGGTTACGAATGGATCCGAAGCCGCCGGACCCGGACCCGGCGGCGGATAACTCGGCGAAGGCGAAGGCCAACAATCTCATAAGGCTGTCCGAGTATTGCAAGGAAAGCATGAGGTTCGGCTCCTGTTCGAGTTCCACGAGTAAGAAGCTGCTGAGCGCAGTAGCGACGGAGCCTACGTTGGCGTTGTCGCGGTCGGAGAGCCTGAAAGATCGAGCACAGTGGGCGGTTCGATCGAAGCCTCCGATGCATACGATGTTCGAGCCGGACGCGTCGCCCACTCCCACCGCCGTCGACTACTGGTCGGATCCTGAAAGGCATTGCGCAGCGCGTGTGGGCCCCGATACCCTACGCCTGAGGGTTCTCGAGTGCTCCGAGCTCACCACAAAGAACGGCCAGTGCGATCCGTTTGCTCTCGTCACGTTACTTTACTCCAACGGACGGAGAGTCGAGAAACGTACGAAACCTAGAAAAAAAACTGTCAATCCGCAGTTCGATGAAATCTTCAGTTTTGATCTCGTTATGGAGGCTGATCCGAAGGATAAGGATGGCTCTCAATCAGTAAGTCCTTTAAAAACTATATGGTTATTATTTTATAGAATAATGGTGACAAACGAGCATACAGTCCACCTGATGGTAAGCGGTTGCTGTGGCCCATAGACATCTACATTTATTCTCGATTACGAATCAAAATGCAGATGCGTTGTCACCCATGAGAACTAACATGAAATGCCTCGTTTCCAGTAAAAAGGGTCTCCGGTTCTCTACACTCACCATACGAAACACAGCAGCGTTAAGCTGCTATTTTACTCTGGTATTCTGTGAGAGCGTGGTCCTTCTCCGGTCGAGCCGACTCATTCGCGTTACAACTGTACCAGAAATATAGCTGCAGCATGGCTCTACCACGTATATTATTACGTATTATATAAAAAATCAAAAACGTAATTGTGCATGTAATGTTTGTCGCCACAAAATATTCTAACTACCCTCCGATCTTAAATTTTTACGGGTATGGTAAAGCTCTAGGCAGAAGGACTCTTCTTACTTATTTCTGCCGCTGTGTTCCAATATGAAGGGTATAGATTGCCAATAAAATTACAGGCTGTGAGTCATTCTAACTTAAACCTTAAAAGTGTCAACGCATCTGCAGCTTTCTTCTTTATGTGAAATTGGCAGCAGGTGTCCACAGAGTGCAGTAGTTACAATCAGTTAGAATGTAAGTCAGTCACTGCAGCCTAAAAAATGAGAAAAATGTTGTCAGAAACTTAATGAGTTAAAACTAAGAAATCTTTTTGATATATATACATGGGGAAAGAAGCAATTTTGACCCATTATAAATTTGTACAACAACGTCTACATTATTCTTAGACAAATAAGGCAAAGAACGAGCGGTAGTCCAGCTGATGGAATTTGGATGCTTATGGCCTATTATGATTAACAATTTTAAAAAAAACAGACTGATGCATTATCACTTTTGACGGCTAAGATGGAATGTCTTGCTACTAGTAAGACCGAAAACTCTGTTCTCGCCACCTACCACACGAAACGCACTAGTAGTATGCTGCTATAGGCTAGTATTCTGTAACACCGTGGCGCGGTCCTTCCCCGGTCGAGCCGAAGCATTCGTACAGCAACTATACTACAGCTGCAATGTGGTTTTACCATCTAAAGAGCCTCAATAAATCCAGTAATATACTTAATATTTAACGATATAAACTTTACCGTGTGATGGCGACATAAGTGAATCCATCTCACATCGTATACACGCCGGCGTAAATACATGTAAAATCTTGCCATCAGATAACTACACAAATGATCCAAGCCGCCCGGTATTCAAAGACAGTCTCGAGTTTGAATTTAAAGAATTTAAACTCGAGACTGTCTTTGAATAACCCAACAGACTGGGAATACCTACCAGTATTTTAAGCAGTTATTCAGAGTCACTGTGAAGTTTAGATTTAAACACTGTGAAGTTTAAAAGCCTGGAATTGTGAGCAATGTCCTTATTTTGTAGGTCTATCCAAACTTATGAGAGACCTTCGTCCAACAGTGGTTTGTAATTATGATACTATATACTGTAAAAAAAAAAAACATTGGAATGACGAACTAATTTAATTCTATTTATTTAGGCAGGCGTGGCGTGTGAAGCGCGCGTCTCTGTGTGGCACGACGCGGCCACGCCCGTGTTTCTTGGCGAAGTGCGACTGCAGTTGCGGCAGCCTGAGCCCTCTCCTATGTGCGCCTGGTACGAAATAAGTATTAAACTAACGTTATAATTTAATTTTACACTTGTCAATAATGAGGATTCATTTACTACTTCCGGATAACAGTCTTAATTTTAATATCCCTTAAAGTATGTTTGTAATCTTCAGTAAATATAGCGCTCATTGGTAAAGACAGACAGAATTTCTAATGTTGTGTGAGTGGATCACAATATCATAAAAGTTATCACTGTTTCCGTATTATAATATATAATAATAATAACCTTTTTTGCCTTCTAAAGGGGGATATGTGCCTTAGTTGCCAATCCTTGGCGGAGGGTTGGTAACTGCAGTTTTTTTTAATTATTTTGTGTTGTTACCAGGAAGACCCTGCGGCTCATCTTCTGTTCCATTTCTCTCTGTCGTATCTACGGCATGATAATATAGTTTAGTATATTTATTTTAACACTACGAATTATAGGCAGAGTATGGTATATATAACTAGGTGGTAGGACTCCCTTTCTATCTAAGAGTCCATCTGCATAGGCTCTACCCTCTTACCTACTCTGCCGCCAAGTAGCTTTTTTACTATTACATTGCTATGTTCCGGCAATACTAATTTCTTTGTATGTATTTGGATGCAAGGGATTATTTGTTTGTATATGTATAGAATAAGGGTGACAAACGAGCACACAGTCCACCTGATGGTAAGTGTATGCTGTGGCCCATAGACGTCTATCTTCAATTAAGAATCAAAATGCAGATGCGTTGTCACCACCGAGGACCAAGATGCAATCAGAAAAGCCACTTACCATCAGGTGAACTGTTGAGTTCGTTTGTCACTTCAGTCTTATAAATGTACAAAATAGTGCAAAAAATATTTAAATTAACAGTTCTTGAAAAGGTTTTAACAGATGGAAAATTGAAAAGTCCTGACAAATAACCTTATCTATATAGAAAAATCATTACATTTTATTGCAAATGTAATTAACGAACGTGAAAAAATTTAAATTATTATTTTTGTGCACTCAATCCACATCGGAGATTCCACCTCTTCCACGCAAAAACCTACATATAAAATACAGTATTTTATTGAAAAATCGAAAAGCCTGACATTTCCAAAATCCGACCGCAATCCTGAAAAGATCTTATAGGTCTTACATGTCAGGACAAACCCTGACATATCTTCTCTAGTTCTTGATCCTCTTTTACCTCAATAATTGTCAGGTTCTTTCTCACATCGCGCGCTGGCGGAGCTCTATCCCGTGGGGCGACGCCGCCCGGGACGCGGCTGTCGGCGGCGGGTAGCGCCACGCTCGGCTCCTTGCGACTGCTGCTGCAGTACACTGTCGACCACGTCTTCCCCATACACCACTATCGACAACTCGAGGAGCTGTTTCTCAGGAGTGTTCACCAGAAGGTAAAGCCTCGCTTAATTTTTTTTAAGTGAGCTAAACTAAATAAGTGATATACGATTTGATATTCTGATTCAACGGAAAATTATTTCTGAGATTTAATAATTAATAAAATACTTAACTCCACATCCTTAAAGGAGACAGTTTCTTTTTGTATGGAGAATGGGCCCACCACAAATTTTAGGGAACCTTAATGAAATGTATGTCGAATTATTTATTATAATTTATAGATTAAAATAGTAATATTAGTTTTACCGTATCTAACGGGAATATTGAGAAAGTAGCAAATAAAATATGTATCTTACTATAACCTAAAAACAAACTAAAAGAGATAGACTATTAGTTTTCACCGGTATTATAAGTTAAAATGTGCACTGTTCAATAAATAATAGTATAAAACAAAGTTGTAGTTACATTCAGCATTTAATAGGTACTTTAAGATTGATGGAAAATCGTTTTAGTAATTCCGGCATAATAATATACTGCCTGTCTGTGCACAAATGTGGTATGGATACTATTTTTTACATGTATTGATTGTGAGTATACATCCCAAATACCATTTAAGTAAATGATTAAAGCCAAGATGAGTCAGGGATAATATGTACAGCTATAACAAATTAGTCTATTAATAGTAGAACAGATAGACAGGCACGGTGTCAAAACTTTGTTTGAAAATATATTAACTGATTAATTATCATACCTCAAACACCATAAAAGCCAAAATGACTAGGTAATGTCATTTTTATCAGTTATTACACACAGAATAGTGAGGAAATAAGATGTTTTAAATTGTTTATGAAAGGATAATAAAACACATATATAATTTAATTGTATTTGTTATTGTCAATCATCATTTCAAAAAATTTTTTCTAAATAACTTGATAACATGTCCATTTATGATATTGGTAGGAATCACAAGGATATTTTCAATCTTATGATATAAGACTGTTGTCTTCAATACCCATACTCTTTTTTTGTCTCTGCCTAAGGGCAGCTCTGCAAGCTTTTAGCCTGCACGGCATACATATATGTTATCAGCGATCGACCTGAAAAAGGTTAATGACTATTGTAAGAGTGCCTATATTAAATATTAATTCTTATAAATATTTTTTTTTTATATTTATTTCATTCTAAATACCTTGTGGAGACTATGTTTATATATGTATTGCTTTACATTTCAAATACTATAAAGCCAAAAAAACATGTCCATTTATTGTTAGGAATTAAAATTTTCAATAATAAGAGATATGAGATAAGACTCCTTTGATGTCAATAAACTATATTTCCATATTTCTGTCAGAATTTTGTTATCTCTGCCTATGTTAAATAAATAAGAAATTATTATAAAATATACATGATTAGTTAGCTCCAGTTGATCAAATACAAAAATAGTAATTATACTCTTCAAAGCCCCTGAAGCTACATCAAATAGAGAAATTTCTTTAATTATACCTCGACCCATAAATTCTAATTTCTTTTAACATACACAAAAACTTGTTTTGTGTATTTATTCTTACCTAAAACATAAAACTTTAATACATTGTCACTTTTAACATACTAATAAGGTTCTCAGACCTGTGTTTGTCATTTGTTTTAGGTAATTCAACAAAAATTAAAGATTTTCTAAAATTCTAGGTGGAAAATTAAACTCTTGGAATACATACATATATAGAAGAGAAATACATAATTTGAAATATTAACATTTGGCTAACCTGCATGATATTATCCATATTATGATACGAATATAATGTATATCCGTATATTCCATGCTTAGAATATTATTCTAAGATTCCATGTATCCACACACTTGTGCATCGACAAGACGATATTTTATTGTCTTGTCAACTTGTCATGTAAACAAACAAGTTAAACTTTTTAATTTTGCTACCAAAAAAGTTTAATAAATTGACCATCACAGACTTTATTCTTAGGTACACTAGTGATAAACTCGAACTCTGTTTTCACTCGAGTGAATCGAGTGAATTTGTTTAATCGAGTGAAAATAAATTTTACTCGAGTCCGCTTATGTTACCGAGTCAACTCAACGCACCGTGTACATTCGGAGAGCGTTAGATAGATGTCAGTTCACTTGTAGTATAAGCCGCCGCGGGTGACGTCACTGGTAACATCCAAATTCAAACTTGCACCTGGCATGTTGTAGTCGAATATGAACTTTGTTGTTTATTTTTTGTTACTTCGTATAAGTAGTGCATAACATGAAAGGTGACTGATATATTATGTATCAATAAGCTGATTAAGTATAATTCGTTATAGTTAAATTAGTAATAACATTAACTTTACGCTACGTCATAAAGTTAGTGATATTATTTTATGAATATTGTCTATACGCAAACCAATAATATATAACTACCTATTAAGTTAAGTAATAATAATTATCATGGATGTAAGAACAAATATAAAAATAATTTGTAACAAACTGACACGCATTCGTTCCGCCAATTCGAGTTGCGTAAATCGAGTACTATTCGAGTTACGTGAATTTCAACACAAGTTAACTCGAGTCGTGTTTTTTTCAAGTATGCACATCACTACTACAATTTTTTTTTAATATTACGTTATCTGAACCAATGACATGAACACAAGTATCAAAAAAACTCTTTTTTTTAGATTTCTTGATTCCGTTTAGATTTTTATAAAATCTTTATGCTATTTACAATAATAAATTGGTATCTTTTTTTTTTGTATATAATACCATTGCTGTCCGCGAAAATTTCTAGTGGGCCCATAGATAAATATATATGTAGCAAGCTAAGTGGGCCCAAAAACGACTGTCTCCTTTGATCCATTAAATATGAAAAAAAAAAATATCTAGAGGGCTATGTTCGGAGTTTCTCTGCATGATAGACTTATTAATGATAATATCTGCATTAGAAGCAGAGTAACCGAAATCAACGGATCAACGGATCGGTACAATGGGCAAGGGGCTGGCAATTTAGTTCAATAAACCGACAACGATGGGGATGTGAGGTTTCTGAGTGAAAGCCTCGTAAATCGACTTGTGATCGGCTGTAAAGATAATTATAATGATAATGATATTTGTTTCAAGATCATTCATTCTTTTACAAAAATGCTACAATAATCCACTTTTTTGTCATTCACTTTATCAAAAATATTTCCCTAAACCCGCGTTGACACAATCAAAGTCTGCTTTGACAATATAGCTTAGATCAAGCTTTGTTCACTTTGATACAGGTTGACACGTACATAGTTGACTTGGACATAGTTCATTTTTACCGTCCTTAGAGAGTAACAACAGCTATAAAAATATGTCTGACGAGACAGATTTGTTACTACACAGTGTAGGAATAACCGCAGACTTGTTAATACAAGAGCTAAAACGAGTAAAGAAAAGAAAAACCCGCAAAAGGAGAATTTGGACTCGCTCCTGAATTCTACGTCGCAATGAAATGGGAGCATCTTATATTATTTTTTAAATTTTTCTTGGGTGTATGTCATTAGAATATTGTTAATTTTACTGTTAACCTCTTCTATAGTAACACCGTCCATCTCAAGATTTCTCACCATGCTCTGCAACGCCTTGTCTCTGGCATCCTTGTTTTTGTATTCTTTGAGCCTCTCGTCCCAAATAACTACTTCTGCCTCATATAATTCTTCGAATTTGAGAGTATCCCGCTCACTCCACTTTATTTTATTACGAGATGCCATTGTCTTTACTTTTTGACGCCATTTAGTTTCGTTTTTTGACATCAAAGTTGGCTTAAAAAGTAAAACACAGTCCATGTTCACTTTGATTAACGCCCACATCAAAGTGCGCTTTGATTGCTCGTTTACACGATCAAAGTAGCGTCAAAGAAGTCATCAAAACTACTTTGTCAAAGCAGACTTTGATCGTGTCAACGCGGCTTAAGTAAACGTTTGCTACACTATTAAAATTAACAGATTGGCAAAGAAGAATGAAATCTACTATGTAGAATGAATTGCTATATCTTTGATAATAAAAAATTATATTATATCTGTTACAGTTCTGTTCTCTGCTTTATTCAAGCTATTTATGTACTATTGAATACTTTTTAAAATTCCTTAAAGTTTTATTTACCTGTATTTCTGTGGCTTGTTTCAGCCCATAACGGCGTCAGCGGTATACATCTTGGGTGAGATAGTATCAAGTAAGACTGACGCTGCACAACCTCTAGTTCGACTATTCACGCATCACGATCTCATAGTGCCTATCGTCAAAGAACTCGCTGACGCTGAGATTTCTATTCTCACGTAAGTGTTTTTAAGAAGAATATGTTTGTAATACAAATAAGCTCTAGTTATGGATAATTTTATGCATCAGAATTGTTGGTGAATTTTGAGCGGCCAAGACATGAATTGATTCGGCTGGGGGGGGGGGGGGGAGCGTTCGGAAAATAGTGTAACATTTTTCATTCAGTGTTACTCAAAACACAAATTGTACCATCACTGTGGTAATGATGACGTAGAACTATAGATGGCTCAACTATGCTTAAACGGTATAATTTCTGTGGAATTGACGAACTAGGCGAGTTGTGTTGTGACGGTAGCGTCACCCATTGATAATGATAATGTGTCGCACACATTCAAGTAAATTTCAAAAAATTGCACAAGTTTGGAATCGAATATTTTAACTATTTTAAATTTAAATCTTGAACAAGTCTAGAATTTGCGCATTATGCTTCCAACACACGTTATTGTTTACTTGTGCAAGTCTAAACTTGCGCATGTATATCGTTACATGTGTGGCTCAAAGACAAAGTGTGTCACAGCTGTGGATTGCGCGGGCGTGTCCCGCCGCACTAAACTGTAGCTGTAACTGTAGCTGCTGTAGGGTAGCTGGCACGGTAAATGTGCCACGCAGTTAGTTGTATTTTAATTTACGACAGTACTGCTTTTTGGTAAATAGTAAATAAAGTTACATACTTATCTGAAATAAACTTCAAATCACGTTGACCAAATGCACACATAAGTAATTATAGCGTTTTTTTAGTCACATTAAACAAAATCACAGTAAGATTGTCGAAAACAGAGAACTAGTCATTTCGCACGCCCTCAGTAGACTAAGGAAGTTACGGCGAATTGACCGTAACTTAGTGCGTAATGTATTAATCCTGTTTATTTAATTTTAATTTTATAGAATTAGGATTACAAATGAGCACATATTCCACCTGATGGTAAGTGGCTGCTGTGACCCGTAGACATCTTCATCTAACCTCAAATAAGAATCGAAATGACGACTAAGATAGAATTTCTCGTTTCCAGTAATAAGGGTGTCAGGTTCTCTATACTCACCTACAAATAAGAAACAGCAGCATTAAGCTGTTACTTTACGATGGTGTTCTGTGAGAGCACCACGGTCGCGTTACCAGGTTGCGCCGACCTATAATATGGCTGCAGCAATAGTGCTGCAGTTATATTATAAGGAGCACCGTAGTGAACGTTTAGTAGTGTACATGGTGTAGTGTGTGTTGTATAAAAGGCGTATGACGTGCAGGGACGCGACGACGATATTCCGCGGCAACACGCTGGTGTCGAAGATGATGGACGAGGCGATGCGGCTGAGCGGCGCGGCGTACCTGCGCGCCGTGCTGCGGCCCACGCTGGCCGCCGTGCTGGCCGAGCGCCGCCCCTGCGAGATCGACCCCGCGCGCGTCAAGCCCTGCGCCGCCGTCGCCGCCAACCTCGCCACGCTCAAGGACTACGTCGAGCGGGTACGTACGGGAGCGCCTACTCAGGCGTGGCCACGTATCTGAATTTTGATTCTTAATCGAGTATACATGTCTATGGGCAACAGCATCCACCTATAAAAGAGATGACGGCAGATTTTTTTCACCGTTTTTGTTAAAACCTGACAAGTGCGAATAGTCGCGTCCTGCGGATTCCGTAAAATCTAAATTATGTATTAACTAATTAATTTATCCATACCGAGAATTATAGGTAATGTAAGCTCTAATGAAAAATTAAGTCGGACTGAAAGATTTACTTTAACTTTGCAGTGTAAAAGTACATTCTCCTTTAACAATTTTCAACATCACGGTCGATGCTCCAACTGAAAACATAAGTTTGTAATCGCAAGAAAAGAAATATATTTGTTATGATTTTTGGATTTTTCTCTTTACTTACGTGTGTGTTATGTGACATAAAATGCCGTATGTTAAGATTATGTCAAATTTTTTACACATCCAAGGGGCCTTAGAACTTATTATTTAATATCAATTATAATATAGGACCTTGACAAACGGATGGACGGGCCTTAAAGGTGCAGAACCTTGAAAATCACAGACTATATAAGGATATTATGAAGAGTTAATTGAATTTGGATAAAAACGGCCAACGCTATGCTATTGGTATGTGTGGTTCGCAGGTGTTCGGTGCGATCACATCGTCGTACGCGATGTGCCCGGCGGTGATGTGCCGGCTGTTCGACGCGCTGCGCCAGTGCGCCGTGCGCCACTTCCCGTGCAACGCGGAGGTGCGCTACTCCGTCGTCTCCGGCTTCATATTCCTGCGCTTCTTCGCGCCCGCCATACTCGGCCCGCGCCTCTTCGATCTCACCACCGAGCAAATTGTGAGTGTTACTTTATATTTGAACCGTAATATAATATTATTGTTGGCAAAACGATAATTTTTTATTTCCAGCCGAACGCTGTGTTCGAAACTATATCAGAATTCGTTATTAGAAGTAAAAACTTAGGTTTCGATAAGATTTAATAATGGTTAACAACCAAGAGCTTTTAAGTACATTATTTTCTTTTTATAATATCTTTGGTTTATTTCGTTCCAAAATACATTGTCAATATATACAATAACACAATTATTCAAGCAGTACATTATTTTCATTTTTATGCAATATTTATGCATCTTATCCAATATTAAGTGAATCACGTAATTGACTCCGGCGTCTATTATATTGCACTGATTCAATAAGTACAAAATGCTTGCATAGAACTGTTTCCATAATATACATATCTCCTCGCTTACATAATGTATCTACATGTTTTTAAAATGGATGACTGCAAAAATTGCATTTGTGTATGAATTTACAAAATAATATAGGCTGTGTATGGCTGCTGTAATGTGCGGTATTTGTCAATGTTTTTAACTGAAATTAGTATACAATATAACCTGCATTTTGTCTTTTTCAATGTGAAGATGATTTTAAAAATATATTTTTATTTTAATAATTTTAAAAATAATTTGCTTTATGACTATATTTCCGAAATTATTTAACGATTGGTATTTATTTATATAAGGTAAATTCTTTGGCCTCAGGATCCACAAACAAACCGAACGTTAACTTTGATCTCAAAGACTATTCAGTCACTGGGCAACCTCGTGAGCAGCCGCTCTGCCCAGCAGGTGTGCAAGGAGGAGTACATGGCGGAACTGTATCGGAGCTTTTGCACTCCCAGACATGTTAGTATTTAGTGTTGTTATTGTATTTTATTAATTGTTAACAATTTTCTTACTAAAGAAGTAAATAATTTGTTATTTTCATCAATAATGTTGGGGTAAAAATGTATATGTGGCTTTAGTAAAGTTAAATTGACTAGACGTTGACTGAAATCCACTTTGACTCAAATCACCTTACTTGACTTTAAGATAAATATGTCATTCTCGTTCATTTTTATAGTTTTCTATTAGCGTTAACGATTGTACAAAGTCTCTCATGGGTATTGTAAGATTAATATTTGCCAAGTGTGACAATAATGTTTAATCCACCTAATGATTGAGAATTTCATAATCCTAGGGACAACACGGCTCCTACCCTAATGAGGATGATTTAGAATGAAATAATGAATGAATATTCTTAAAATACAGTCATCAAGACAATTTTTTAGTACCTTTACGCGTGATAGACAAGCTACGTGACAGTCAGTCAACAGTCTATGTAATTGTGAGTGGCTGCTGTAGCCCATTGACAACTGTAACCAACTTTAAGCATAGAAGTAAAAACTTAGGTTTCATAATATTCAATAATAATGTCACGATTTATTGCCGGTTTAATAACCGGCAAACGACGAGATTTAGTAATTATTAACAACCAAGAGGTTTTAGGTATATTATTTTCTTTTATAATATCTTTTGTTTATTTTGTTCGAAAATACTTTGTCAATATATACAATAATACAATATATATAAGCACGGCTCAAAAAGACTTCTATTACACTGCTATCTTTGAAGACTACAATGAAATTCTTCAGTCTGTAATTATGCACAGCAGTAAATGCACCGTTACCTAACGGAAGAAATACCAAAAAGCCGAACTTTAGAAGAAAAGGATACCTATCTAATATACAGTACAGAATAACACACAGAAATGTAGCAATTTTTTTTGGTTTATTTATTTTCTGCTGTATATCAATCAGACAGAAATGTAAGTATACATAGGCTTTATTTGATTTTGTTACAGGTGCAGGCAATTAAGCAGTTCCTAGAAATTATCTCCACAAGTTCTGACACCCAAAATAATAATGTTCAGGAATCGCCCGTTTTACTCAAAGAAGGGTAAGTTAAAATAATAATGAATTAAAAAAATACTTAATGTCACAGAGAATAATAATAATTTTTTTATTCTTGCATCATTTGGATTAGATACGGGTATGTTTTTCGCTCGTTTCTATATCTCTCGTAAATTGTACTGCCATGCTATTTTGTTTTTGTTTTTATTTTCTTTATCTTTTATTGAAACATCCTCAACTAGGGGTTACAACGGGCGGACTTAATCAATAACATATGGTATTTTTATAAGTCTGGAAGAAATATGTTTTTATTTTTAATGAAAATTAAATATAAATTTGACAACTGTACTGTTATATACTATTCAACAATAATAAAAACATAAAAGGGATGTTAGGGGAATATGTATATATATTTTTTGCGAAGTAAAGCTTTAGTGACCAACTAAAGGCGGAAAATCTATACAAAACGCCGATTCTAGATTTAACATACTGGTTAGGAAGCATAATTATTTACCGGTTTAAGGGTGTCGGCTCTGCGCTCACTAACCCGTCTGCCAAACATGGTGAGTATGGGCAAATCTTCCAAGGCCTATGTGCAGCCCACCGCTGAACATAGACTGCCCCCATAAATTGCCTCATAGGGGCTGGCGTGGAGTGCGGGTTGGCAACAACTGGTGGCGGTTTTATTTGTAATAAGTAAAACGCTGCTGTCCATCTCCTGATTCGTTTCCCTCTTCTCTCTTCCGGCACCCACCACTACACGATGCGAAGTGTGAAAAGAACATTCAACTTAATTTACTTCTTAATTTTCTTACGTTTGTAGCACGAATGGGTCGGCTAAATCGGGGATGTCCACACTTTCATAGAATACCAGGTTAAAATAACAGCTCAACGCTGCTGTTTTGTATGGTGAGTCATTTGAGTCAAACGAGACATTTCATCTTAGCCCTCAGGGGTGGCAACGAATCTGCATTTTGATTCTTAATCGTGGATATATGTAGATGTCTATGGGCCTCAGCATCCACTTAGCATCAGGTGGATTGTGAGCTTGTTTGTCACCCTTATTCTATTTTAAAAAAACTTAGTTATATTATCGATTTCATTTTAGTACAATGATCAAGCGGTCGGAAAGCGCCCGTACCGGTTCTGGTTCCCCGAGACGGGGATGGAAGCGTGCCGCTAATACGCCTTCCAAACGGAGGCATTTTAGACTCACTAGGTAAGTCATCCTAGCATCTTGATAATTTTAATGTTTTATTTATTTAAATTTAAAATCCAGATACAAAATCTTAAAGAAGGTTGGTCAAACCGTACTAGACGACGAAACGATGGCGTCACTATATGCCATATTTATGAAAAATATTCTTATTTTTGAAGGTCTTAAAAAACACTAAAACTAACTCTCTAAGTAGCCACAAAAAAGTTATCGTTTTATTTTTGTTTTTGTACCTGTTTCGTAATTATTTAAAATAATGGTTTCAGAACGCACTTGAACGCACCAAATGGCGATTCATTTCGCGTATGAAAGAACTTTACATTCAAAGACTATAATTATTCACGTTTTTTTAATATTTGTTAATTGTAATTCAGTTCAATTAGTATTTAGGCATCAAATCAACTACTATATTGATTTATTATGTACTGGATTCATGTCATAAAAATAACTATGTAGCTTCATAGTAAGATGAGCGTTTTGTTCAATTACGTACAACGGAACATCATTTGTTATCGACAAGTTACATAATCTGTGGTCATCGTCGACACCATTGATTGTCACCCGGCAATCATTCGCATCATCTTATTTGCTTCACTCGTTGTTGTGGATTGTGATACGTACTGTATTATTTTAGATTTCCTTCTGTTGTTTTGACTTCGGCATTGTTTTACGAGCTGATAACTACCACTTGTAACGATTATTCTATGCTTTTGATTTCTGGACACCGATTTTGCATCTTGAATAATTGTGCGAGATATCATGCAGACTACAGCTACACAACAACGACAACTAGCCCTGCGATTGCTATGTGTTAATTGTAACATATGCATTGATACACTTCGCCGCCATCTCGTTTTTGAGCTTTATACCACAGTAATTTCTAAGATCTGCGAGTGGAATTCTTCAACAATAGTACATATTTCACACAATCCTACATCATAATACAAATCTTATTCTTATTTTAGATCACTGAAGAAGATTACACTCAAAAGTATTGTTGACGTTATTATAAAAAATTGTGGCTATTTAGATATGATTTTCAAACGGGATAGTGTTTACAACATAAAAACAAACCAATCTAACTATAGCTTGTTTTGGGACATGAAAAATAAAAGTCTAGTCCAGCTCATATAGAAGTTTGGCCCTTGTTTTTTAAGTACTTACATTATATTTAGGTATTTGTTTATTAAATTAGTACATCATATAACTTGAATTTTGCTACTTTTAGTAGTTTCTTAAATCCCAGTTAAGTGTTAAAAATATACAAATAAGTTGGTAATCTTTATATATATATATAAAGAGAGAGAGAGAGAGATTTTCACCTATGTACTGACTCATTACGATATCTTAGGAACCATAAGGCCTAGAGACTTGAAATTTGGTAGGAATATTTCTTTCGCCGAGTAGAGGTCAGCTAAGAACGAAATTCCACCCACAATATTTGTTGCGGGAGCGTTATTTAAAAAAATTCCCATTTTCAAACTATAGCTCTTATAGGTGTATTTTTTGGGTTTTCGTGTGGGGTCCCTGGATGGTTTGATTCACAATCGGACCCGGTAGGTGGAGCTTTTGTCAACTTCTTCACTACTGCCATCCGGTACGTCGGCGGCCCGTGTTAGCTTTATGGTTATTTATTTTTACAATTAATATGAATTTAAATAAAATACTATGTATCTAAGCATAATTTAAAATTAAATATTTTGTACAACCGACTTCAGTATAAATTATTAAGAATAACTCAAAAACAATTGGTCCGACCTTAATCAAATTTATGGGACCACATGTGAAGCACCAGTTCAAATAAAAAATTAATCATCGAAATCGGTTCACCCAGTAAAAAATTATGAAGTACACATAAAAAAACATACAGTCGAATTGAGTACCTCCTCCTGTTTGTAGAAAATATTACTTATAAGTGATAAAATATTAATAGTCCTTACCGAAAATATATATAAATATAGTTTTCGTTCGTTTTCACCATACAGTACTGTATTTTAGTCGATCGAAAAAACGAAGAGTGGCGCGCGATTGGAGCTCTTTTTGCATTTTGGATCTCTTTTGGCTAGGACACTTTTGAGCTCGGATCCATTTAGTAGTAGGTGAATGTTTAGCCGTGATTAAAGGGTGCTAATGTGAGCGCGTGTGGTGTGGTGGTGTGTGTGCAGCGGCGAGCTGTCGTGGTCGCGCAGCGGCGGCAAGGCGCCGGCGCACCGGCTGGCGCTGGCCGGCGTGCTGGCCGTCGCCGCCGTCGACTGCCCGCCCGCCGGCGCGCCGCTCGGCGCCAACAACATCTTCCAGATAGGTACACTACCCACGACCCCTTCACTACCCCTAGCCTGTTCGCGTAGACACGGTCGCCATTGTATCGCACCGCCTTGCTACGTGCCGCATTTTATCAAAGGTCGCCGCGTGCGGCGTACACTCGAAGGACAATTTGGCATTTTAAAACGAAGCGTCCTAGTGAAAGATTCTTTACTACCTAGCTTGTTTTTATTTTTTATTTCTACCACCATCGGAATAAAATAGTATTATATTTTATTATTAGAGTAGAATAATATTTATTTAATAATTGCTATAAAAAAGCAATAAAATAAAAGCAAAATAAAAAGTGTGCCTCCTGGTTTACCGACACTATCTTAGCGAACAGACTATACTAATGTTACAAACGATGAGTCAGCTTTACTTCAGAATATCATAAACGTTCACTGCTTCCGTATTTCATTCCATTCATTAATGCATTACAACCACAGAGCAAATACAAAGAGGAGGTGTTGTAATTAGATTTCACTATGTAACAACGCGTAACAATTTGCAAGGTGAGGGTATGTTAAACCCACTTTACTATCTACATCTACCGATAAATAGTAAAACTACTCGAATCGTTCCATGTGGATGTTGCTACTGTTTAGCTACCTTTATAGATAGCGGCCTGTTCACAAAATGATTATAAAAATATAAAAATAATATTTTGGCGATTAAAAATTCTCTAGGACTGAATGCAGAACAAATTTCAACACCTTTGTATGATTATTTTACCAATACTGAGCTCTACGTAACTTTATATTTTTAATTTCCATGACACAAAGTGTCACCATCTAGTGTCGAATATAATTACATTTTAAAGCCGACGCAGAGATTTTTCTAGAACCTTTTTAATAAATTAGGTATAAAATTACTTAGAAATGAAATTTGATACCGTCCATAGCATCAGAGCGTCTATTTGAGTAGTTTTTACACTATGAAACACAACACTTCATTCTTTCCTTTTTAATACTACGAAAATACATCGATTTGCGATTTTCGACATATAAGCGCACAGGACGAACGCTGACAATATACTAAGTCAAGCCACGCCCACTGTGATGACGTCAGGACCTAGTTAGAATCACAGTGCACAGTTGCTTATGCCATCTCTTTGTATTTGCTTCGTGATTACAATCTATAAAAGTCCACTGCTGAACATATGCTTCCCTCATATACTGCCTCATGGGGGGATTTTGTCATCGTTGCTATGCTTAGCAAGCGAGTTGGCAACAGCAATTTTTATTATTTTGAGTTGTTATCAGGAACATGCTGCTGCCCATCTCCTGTTTCATTTTCCCTCTGTCACCTCATACAACACCTTCGGGACGATATGAGGTAGTGGATATTCTTACATCGCGACCAATCCAAAATTTAAAAAAAATGAAAATAAAACAAAAAATTCATATCTCGTAAACTACAAAAAATCGCGGAACATACATGGGATCCAATCGATAGGTATTGATGTCCCCAGACCACAGACCTTCGCTGCTACAGGTTTCTTGGGACAGTCTGTATATAGTGGCATAGGAGCCAGTATAATTACAGTGTGAGGCATTCCATCTTAATCCTCAAAGGTGACGCATGTGTAGGTTTCGTTGTTGAAAGTTCTCTTACGATTGATAAATGTGGCGTGTTAGTGTAATGATTGAGTGTGTTATGTGTTGTGTCGATGCGTGCAGTGCACCGCGAGCGCGTGCTGCTGGTGCAGGCGAGCAACTGCGTGGAGCGCGCCGAGTGGGTGCGCCTGCTGAGCGCGCTGTGCCGCCGCGCGCCCGCCGCCGCGCACCGCGGCTACTACGCCGCCGACCGCTGGACCTGGTGAGCACCGCACACTGTGCGCCTCCACACGCCACACACCACACACCACACACCACATACCACACACCACGCACCACGCACCACCCACCACACACCACACACCACACACCACACACCACACACCACGCACCACGCACCACGCACCACACACCACACACCACACACCACGCACCACGCACCACGCACCACACACCACGCACCACGCACACTCACTATTCAATAAACTCTGTACAGCCATGCTGCAGCTTTATTATACTTGTAGCACCAATGATTCCAAGTAAATACCGCAGCTTAATACTGCTGTATTTACGCACTGGAACGGAACATTTCATCTTAGTCCTAAGGGGTGACAACGCATTTAAATTTTTAGTCGTTTACATATATATTTATAATTTTAATATTAATTATGTCTCCCATTCTACAAATATTTTCTATACGTCTATACTTTTACTTTTAATAAGTTATTATTATCGAGGTATTACTATGTTCTCCTTTGATAAGGATGCATAAATATAATGTAATAACTTACTAAACACTTCATAGAATACATAAAGTTTAACCATTACATATCAATCAAAAAAATAATCTTTAAATATTTAAATTCCATTTTACAGCCACGTTCGTTAAATTAAATGAATCAAAATCTTTAAAAGTATATAATTTAACAGCTGTGGCCGGTCGGAAGCGGATGCGGAGGGTTGCAGCGGTGGCGATAGCGCGGAAGAACGCGGACGTAACGCACCTGCAGCGTTAGCGCTGCGCTTAGACCCCGCGCGCGACCTACAGCGGCTGCACGCGCTGCTGGTAGCGCACGCGCAGCGCCTCGACGAGCGCCTGCACCGGCCGCACGGTGAGTGTGTGTGTAGAGCCGCGGCCGCAGCGCCCGCAGCGGCTGCACGCGCTGCTGGTGGCGCACGCGCAGCGCCTCGACGGGTGCCTGCACCGGTCGCACGGTGAGTGTGTGTGTAGAGCCGCAGCCGCAGCGCCCGCAGCGGCTGCACGCGCTGCTGGTGGCGCACGCGCAGCGCCTCGACGGGTGCCTGCACCGGCCGCACGGTGAGTGTGTGTGTGTAGAGCCGCAGCCGCAGCGCCCGCAGTGGCTGCACGCGCTGCTGGTGGCGCACGCGCAGCGCCTCGACGGGTGCCTGCACCGGCCGCACGGTGAGTGTGTGTGTGTAGAGCCGCAGCCGCAGCGCCCGCAGTGGCTGCACGCGCTGCTGGTGGCGCACGCGCAGCGCCTCGACGGGTGCCTGCACCGGCCGCACGGTGAGTGTGTGTGTAGAGCCGCAGCCGCAGCGCCCGCAGTGGCTGCACGCGCTGCTGGTGGCGCACGCGCAGCGCCTCGACGGGTGCCTGCACCGGCCGCACGGTGAGTGTGTGTGTAGAGCCGCAGCCGCAGCGCCCGCAGTGGCTGCACGCGCTGCTGGTGGCGCACGCGCAGCGCCTCGACGGGTGCCTGCACCGGCCGCACGGTGAGTGTGTGTGTAGAGCCGCAGCCGCAGCGCCCGCAGTGGCTGCACGCGCTGCTGGTGGCGCACGCGCAGCGCCTCGACGGGTGCCTGCACCGGCCGCACGGTGAGTGTGTGTGTAGAGCCGCAGCCGCAGCGCCCGCAGTGGCTGCACGCGCTGCTGGTGGCGCACGCGCAGCGCCTCGACGGGTGCCTGCACCGGCCGCACGGTGAGTGTGTGTGTAGAGCCGCAGCCGCAGCGCCCGCAGTGGCTGCACGCGCTGCTGGTGGCGCACGCGCAGCGCCTCGACGGGTGCCTGCACCGGCCGCACGGTGAGTGTGTGTGTAGAGCCGCAGCCGCAGCGCCCGCAGTGGCTGCACGCGCTGCTGGTGGCGCACGCGCAGCGCCTCGACGGGTGCCTGCACCGGCCGCACGGTGAGTGTGTGTGTAGAGCCGCAGCCTCAGCGCCCGCAGTGGCTGCACGCGCTGCTGGTGGCGCACGCGCAGTGCCTCGACGGGTGCCTGCACCGGCCGCACGGTGAGTGTGTGTGTAGAGCCGCAGCCTCAGCGCCCGCAGTGGCTGCACGCGCTGCTGGTGGCGCACGCGCAGCGCCTCGACGGGTGCCTGCACCGGCCGCACGGTGAGTGTGTGTGTAGAGCCGCAGCCTCAGCGCCCGCAGTGGCTGCACGCGCTGCTGGTGGCGCACGCGCAGCGCCTCGACGGGTGCCTGCACCGGCCGCACGGTGAGTGTGTGTGTAGAGCCGCAGCCTCAGCGCCCGCAGTGGCTGCACGCGCTGCTGGTGGCGCACGCGCAGCGCCTCGACGGGTGCCTGCACCGGCCGCACGGTGAGTGTGTGTGTAGAGCCGCAGCCTCAGCGCCCGCAGTGGCTGCACGCGCTGCTGGTGGCGCACGCGCAGTGCCTCGACGGGTGCCTGCACCGGCCGCACGGTGAGTGTGTGTGTAGAGCCGCGGCCGCAGCGCCCGCAGCGGCTGCACGCGCTGTAATATGAATTTGGCAAGCTAATTAACAATCGCGCTACGAAACTTCATCACGCACCTTAGACGTTGCCTTCCATCACCATTTTGGATAATTCACATTTAGCTTATATGCGGAATGGTTATCTCACCGCTTCATTGATCTTTTTTACATGATTAACTATAGGACAAGATATTACAATTTGCAGTTATAAAAGGCCGTGTGTACTATTATGCATACATTTAATATTGTTACGAGCTTGGGGTTCGAGACAATTAAAAACTGCCGATTGAATTACCAAAATTGACACTTTAATTACACAACACTAATTACAATCTAAAACCACACTAATAATAAAAGAAAATCACTTTAGTTCGCAGTTATTTCGCTTCGAAGTATTCTCTTGTATCGCCAATTCAATACTGCCTCGGTCGTGGTCTATACCGGCCTTATATAGGGCCTCAGATAGTTTCCAGAACCTTCTACTGTAGCGACATCTAGAATGTTCTAGTACATATCGGTCCCGAAATTTCTGGAAGGATCTCGACTCTCCTAGTTCTGCTACTCGACATTAGAGGGCGCTAGTGTAACTAGTGTTGCCATGTACAAGACATTAAGAGTGGCGCGCAACACTGCCCCCTCCTAAGACATGCTCGTCCCGAGCATTATTGGCCCCATAATAACGCGCCAGTCGATCTACATGGATGATCTTAGGAGTACCTCTGGTACCTTTCTGTATCCGGTAGGTTACGTCATTGATCCTTGTCACAATCCGGTACGGTCCGTCCCATTTAGCTTGAAGCTTAGGAGATTTCCCTTTGCTGCGAGCTGGATTGTGGAACCACACTAGTGAATCTTCGTCAAACCCTTTGTTGTTCATTTTGCGGTCATACCGTGTTTTCATCTTCTCAGACGTTTGCTGGCCCGACTGTCTGACGTGCTCATAAATGTCATTCATTTTGTTCCGCAAGTCATTTGCATAATCGGTTATACTGCGTGGGGCATCAGGTGGTATTCAGGTGATCAGGTCTGCAGGCAGCCGTAATTCTCTCCCAAAGTTTGTGAAAGCTGGCGTCACTGATGTACTTTCGTGAACAGCGCTTCGATATGACAACAAAAACGGTTGTATGTGCCTGTCCCAGTTTTGTTGCCGTTTTTCCACAACTTTTGCCAGGTACCTTTCCAATGTCTGATTAAATCGTTCTACCATTCCATCAGATTGTAGAGAGATCAGATGAGTACCCATAACTCTGCAAGTTTCCTGGAATATTTGAGACTCAAAATTCCTTCCTTGACCGCTGTGAATCTCTAAGGGTACTCCAAAACGACAGAAGACTTCATGAACTAGTTTATCTGCAACTGTTGAAGCTTCTTGATTAGGAATGGCGAAGACTTCTGGCCACTTAGTGCAGTAATCCATCACAACCATGAAATACTTGTGGTGGTAACTTTCACTTTCCGATAACGGCCCCGCAACGTCAATGGCTATCCTCTCCCATGGTGCACCAACATTGTACAATTTCAATGCGCCTCTACTACGAATTTGAGGTCCCTTTACAGCCGCACAACTTGTACATTTGCGGTACCAGTCCTCGACATCGTCACGACAGTGGATCCAGTAAAACCGTTCTCGGATCTTCAGTAGAGTACTTCAGTACTTATGTAACATGAGGATCTATAACGCCAGAGTTTTGTCATACGCTGATGATACGGCTGTAGTATTTGCCGGTGATTCTTGGGAGGTGGTCAAAACTAGTGCTGAGGCTGGTCTGTTGCGAATCGCTCAGTGGCTGAAACACAACCTCCTGACCCTAAATACTTCTAAAACCAACTATATATGTTTTAGTACTAACAACAACTCGCAACCTCAGGCCGACTTCAGTTTAAAAATTCATGAATGTACAACGGATACTAATAAAAACACCTGTAACTGCCCTAGAATCGATAAGGTAGTTCAGACAAAATATCTGGGAGTAATTTTAGACCAAAGACTATCATGGTACCCACACCTTGATCATGTCATCAATAGAATGAGGAAACTAACTTGGATCTTCAAAACCCTCAGACATGTAATGCTGGGCAAATCGGATGAGGACTCACCAAATTATCTCCTCAATCAAATCTACATTGCTCTTGCTCAATCCGTCTTGGCCTACTGTATTCCTGTCTGGGGTGGTGCAGCAAAAACTCGATTTCTGGAGTTAGAGAGGGCGCAGCGTTCTCTTATTAAAGTTATGTACTTTAAGAAGAGACGCTTTTCTACCGATTTTCTATTTCGTATCAGCGGTTTACTCTCTGTCAGGAAGTTGTATATATTCTGGACAACCCTCAAAACTCACAAATCATTGTCTTATGATCCATGCCATTTAAATAAACGACGTAAAAACATGGTTGCCCAGACATACAGAACTAAAACCACATTTGCGAGCAGACAATTTATATCACGTTCTGCCTTTCTTTATAATAAAATAAACAAAGATATTTATATATACGACAAAACATATCACAACTGTAAAAAACTTTTGTTAGAATGGATTCATCATAAGACATATGACGAAATTGAGAAGCTACTGGATTGTGTAGCATGATTTGTTCAGATTCAGACACTGTAATCACACATACTCTTTTTAACTCACGCAAGCATAGACACAAACACACACACACACACACACACACACACACACACACACACACACACACACACACACACACACACACACACACACACACACACACACATACATAAGTAATAGAATTAATATAGAATTTAAGTAATATATAACATTAATATGGATATAGAATATGTTTATCCATACTGCCTTGTAACATGGATATAGTAATGGAAGGGCGGACCCTCCAAACACAGGCATTATTTGCTTAAATGGAGGTTCCAATCTACTAGTTTTTAAGGCATTTACTTTTTAAAAACGAAATAAAATTTATTTATTTATTTATTATTTAGAGTTTAACTCCCAAGTGGCCTCCTGAACAACCACTATGGTACAGCTGTAGAACGTCCGGTACTTTAGCCTTAGGGACAACCATTTGCAAATGACATCTGTCTCCCCGACCATTTTCCCATTTACGGCACAGGACTCCATCCTGAATCAGCAAGCTGTCCCATTGGGCCCAATAGCTTTTTGTGGTCGAACTCATTGCTGAGACGTCGCTCCACTTAGGCTTAGGAGCACTGGCCTTCATCCATTCCAGAATCGGCTTAATGTCCGAACCTTCCTGCTGTGCATGTTGTAGGCCGTCCTTCCACTCATTACTGAGCTGGTCTGTCCTGAGCATCCTCACAGATACCACTTCCTTACCCTCTTGCCTAGTACAATGCTTGCAATCTTCAGGGCAAGGTCTTCTTGACAATGCATCTGCATTGCCATGAAATTTCCCGCTGCGATGTTCGATCACAAAGTCGTATTCCTGCAGTAGTTCAATCCATCTCGCAAATTGTCCATCCGGATTTTTGAACTGCAATAGCCATTTCAGTGCAGCATGGTCAGTTCGTAAGTAGAATTTCCGCCCCAGGAGATATTTGCTAAAATGCTGAAGGACTTTACCACACCAAGCAATTCCCGTTTTGTGACACAATAGTTCCTTTCCACCATTCCGTTGAGACAACACACCGCCAAGTCCTATATCACTTGCGTCTATGTCAACTATGAATTCCTTGCCCGCATCAGGGTACCCCAAAATAGGTGTTTTGCACAGACGGTTCTTGAGCTCCTGGAATGCAATATCGCAACTTTCATCCCAGCAGAAATGTCACTTCTCCTCGGTTAGCTTGTGCAGAGGTTTGGCTATATCTGCACTACACTATACTCTTCACAAATCGCCGATAATAAGAGCACAAACCCAAAAAAGCTCTAACCTGTGTCTTGTCTTTTGGCACCGGCCACTCCTTGACAGCGGCAATTTTCTCTGGATCCGTGCGGATACCTTCTTCCGACACTACATACCCCAAAAAGCTAACTTGCCGTTTGAATAGTGAGCACTTCTTCGGGCTCAACTTGAGGTTGGCAATCTGGATCTTCATGAGCACGCGTCCCAGGTTTTGGAGGTGTTCCTCAAACGTACGGCCTACGATAATGATGTCATCCAAGTAGACCAGACAGGCATCTCCAATTAGCCCGGTAAGTACAAGCTCCATCAACCTTTCAAACGTTGCTGGAGCATTGCACAATCCAAACGGCATGACTTTAAATTGCCACAGACCCTTTTCTGTGGAGAATGCAGTTTTCTCCTTGTCCTTAGGGTCAATTTCAACCTGCCAGTAGCCACTTTTCAGGTCCAGAGTACTAAACCACTTTATACCTGTGAGCATGTCCAGCGTGTCATCAATTCTAGGCAAGGGATAGCTGTCCTTCTTCGTAAAGTCGTTCAGGCGGCGGTAGTCAACACAAAACCGCATGCTGCCGTCCTTCTTCTTTACCAGCACCACAGGTGAACACCATGGACTAGATGAAGGTTCAATAACACCATCCTTCACCATTCACTCAATCAAGGTTTCCACTTCCTTTTCACGTGCTACAGGCAATCTTCTTGGCCGCTGACGAATAGGCAATTCTTGTCCTGTGTTTATTTTGTGTTCAACTAAGCCAGTCTTTCCTATGTCAGCTTCGTTTGAAGAGAAAACATTGGCGTACTTGAGTAACAACTTCTTCGCCTTGACCATTTTATTCGGGGAGAGAACGCTGCGACAGTCTTCTAAAAGTGTGGTCACTCTCGTTTGTCCATCCTTGCTGGGGGTCCCAGTCGATAGATATTGGCACTGACGCAACCAATCCACTTCCTCACTAGTACCAACCAATATGCCTTTTTCTATAATCTGTTCCTGTTCACAAAGGTTCAGCACACGTACTTCTGAGATGTTGGCGGTTCTGACCAAGGTTCGAGCCACTATCCATGGAAGGTCATTGTCTACTCTTTCCACAAGTACACAACGAAGAGTTTGCCCAGGATTCCGAGGAAGTCTAACCGGCACAATCGTTTCCGATTTCGGCGGAAGAACAATCTTAAGGCTGTACACATTTCCTGGTAACGCCCCTTCCACGAAAAGTTCCTCTTGTCCACATTTCAAAACACCTTGCTTAACGTCGATCTCACAACAATTCTTCATCATAAAGTCTAGGCCCAGGATGCAGTCGTCCATTATATCAGCCACGATGACATTATGCAGGTAGATCATGTTGCCTAGGTTCAACTCCATCTCCTTCTCTCCACGGACAGGTATGCGCTGACCGGTGCCTGTCACCAAATTAATGCGTTCTCGGTTGTATGCGGAGTCCCCAAGGAACCGACATATAATTTGGGAACTGACAACCGTGCGAGAGGCTCCAGTGTCTATGGACAGTTTACACGGCGTTCCGTTGACTTCGCCCTTGATGATTAGGCTGTTCCCATCATGGGTTTGTGAGATCGAAATCCTTGGGGCTCTTTTAACATCAGCCAGCACTCGCCCCGCAGTCCTGGCTTTTACTCGTTTCCCTGCTGCTGCTGGGCGGTGCTATTAGCCGCACTACCCTCTCGAGATCGATCATCTTCCTTTTCTACAGTTCGCTTAGGGCAGCTGGATCGAAGATGGCCCCTTTCCCGACAGCCGTAGCACCTAGGGCTGTAGCCGTTATTACGGTCCCGAACTGTAGCTGCTGCAACCTCCCTGACGCGGTACGATGATCCTGCCGCACGGCTTCCACCTCCAGTGCATGGGTCAAGGCGTCCTCAAGGGCCCGAGCCTCACAGCAGCTCTGACTTCAAGGTCGCGGATGCCGTCGATGAATGTCTGCACCAGATTCCCCACAATGAGCGCAGGTACGGACTGGTACGCTTTTCGAACCAGCTTCTCCACCTCAAAGGCCCACTGCTGCAGGTTTTCGTTACTGCGTTGCACGCGATCTTTGAGCTGCGCACGAATGACGTGTTCAAGGTGAGCGTCGCCATATCTCGCCTCCAATGCCTCAAGGAGCTGCTCGTAAGTCACTTCCTTACCGAGAGCTTCCAGAACAGTTAAGGCCTGGTCGCGCAGGCCTAGGGTGAGAGCAGTTATGGCCTGACTTTTATTCCAGCCGTTCGCTTTCATGACAGCCTCGAACTGGATTTTGTAGGCCGACCAGGAAGAAGTCCCGTCGAACGGTGGCACTTTGAATCCACGTAGCGAAGGTGTTGTAGCTACCACGGGAGCTGTAACTCCATCCCCAATTTTGAGGTCGTCCAGCGTTTTCATCACGTCAACCATCACGTTGTCAACCCGATTGTTCACTTGGTCGATTCGGGCTTCAGCTTCCGACAGGCGGTTGTCATGTTGAGCAATCCTATCCTTCACCTCCTTTATCTCTTTCCCGAAGGTAGCGTGAAGGTCCTTCATGAGGAGCATCTGCTCTTCCTTATCGCGTTTGAGCTTCTTTTCCAAGCAACGGGCCTGTTCCTCCTGTCCGCGCTGCAACTGCTCTTCCAACCGACGGACCTGTTCCTCCTGTCCGCGCTGCAGCTGCTCTTCCAACCGACGGGCCTGATCCTGCAGCATCATCATCAGAGCACCTAAGTCAGGTGCTGCAGATTCAGGAGCTGCTGACGGGCTGGCTTCCGTGGTCAGCAGCTGGCCCTCTGACGTTTGCGGCGTTGCATTACCAAATCGTCTCTGGTCCGTCTGCAGCTGGCGTTGACTTCGGGTACGCATACCCTCCATGTCGTCCTTTGGTAAAATCGGCATGATTTGATCCCACTTCTGACACCAATTGTTACGAGCTTGGGGTTCGAGACAATTAAAAACTGCCGATTGAATTACCAAAATTTACACTTTAATTACACAACACTAATTACAATCTAAAACCACACTAATAATAAAACAAAATCACTTTAGTTCGCAGTTATTTCGCTTCGAAGTATTCTCTTGTATCGCCAATTCAATACTGCCTCGGTCGTGGTCTATACCGGCCTTATATAGAGTCTTAGGTACATATCGGTCCCGAAATTTCTGGAAGGATCTCGACTCTCCTAGTTCTGCTACTCGACACTAGTGGGCACTAGTGTAACTAGTGTTGCCATGTACAAGACATTAATAGTGGCGCGCAACAATATTATAAAATTGTTCGTATACCTTTATTATTAGAATAGTTTATGTAGAAAATTTTTCCAAAAATTGATCCATGTATTTTTTGTTTATAGCATGTAGGTATACATTGTAGGATCCGTTTAGTTTTAATACTTTTTTATAATCCTCACCCTTTTATTCATCATTATTTATTTTTAGTTTTTTTATATGGAAAACAAAGACTATAATATAAACAAGGGCATTTTAATTCGTGAAAAACATTTACTGAAAACTTCGAAATAACCGAATCATTTTCTTTAGTGAACTGTCACAACACATGGGTATTTGTCGAAGTCAACTTCACCTTGGTTCTAAAGCACTATGAATTAGAAACATAACAATTAGTCGTACTCTCGTAATGTGAACTAAACCTAATTTACATTTTGCTTTGTTTAGATGGTGCAACACTTGAAGAACGTGAAGCTGAAGCAACGACATTACGGGAACTGCAGAAAACGATATTTGACCTTGAACACCAACATTGCATATACCGGCGGTCGCTTGCCCGGGAGACCAAGTATGGCAGCAAGTAAGAACCTCTCAATTTTAATACTAATATTATAATTAAAAATTAAAGTTTGTACTTATTTATGATTTTTATTTTTAGGCAAGCACCTATAGGCGACGATAATTACCTCCATCTGGCGGGAGCGGCAGGTAACGTGGACGGCGGGTCGTTCTTCTGGCGAGCGTTTAGAGGTGACATGTCACCCACAGTCGATCTCGACGGAAAGACTTTACCCCTACAACAGACGCCAATCGACATTGGCTCCAGTACGGAGTCACTCAAATTGGCGCGACTCGGTGACGAACGCTCCTCTGGCAAGTCTAACAAGTCCACCGGCAGCGGTTACCTCACCATGTCCTGTTTAAAGCACGAGCCGTCTGAAGACAGCGACGCTTCCACCGACAAACCAGCGCGGCCGCCCAAACCAGCCCGCCTGTCCCCTTCCCGTACTTTCTCCCCACCCGCTCCTCTTTGCGAGTACGTAGATGTGGAGCTTAAGCCGCCACGACGGGGTCCTAAACCTGAATTTACTCCGAAGCGATCCGACGTTAACGTTTCAAATCGCTGCAAGGAGTACGAATTGATGGCTAACTTTATGAGTCATGCCCACGTGTCAGACGAGGACGCTCCACCAGCGGTACCACCGCGAGGCAACACCGCCGCGCGAATAAGACTGCAGCCAAAGTCCGTTGATGTGGAAATTAGACGGTCAAGTGAACTATCCACTTTAAAACATGTCATGAGCTGCTCCACTAACAGTCTACCCAACGACGGTATCAACGTAGACGACCATCAAAGCCCAGGGGAACCAACTCACACGCGCCCTCTAAGCAAAGTTGATACAGTCTCAAACGATGACAGTTTGCTTGCCGAACTGCAACGTGACACGTACTGCGTGCTAAAAGTGTGCGAAGATGAGGTACAGGACCGTGAAATTTGCGGAGTGGAATCTGAAGGATCAATAGACCGCAAGGAGAAGGAGGAATACGGAATGTTTTCTAGAATAAGTATACAAAGGAAGTCGAATCCTATAAAGACCCAGCCTTCTATGAAGCCACTGAAGACGTCCAGTTCGACGTCGAACGTACACGATGCGGGTACTAACACGTCCCGGCCCTTGACGGAGCGATTGACGCCGTTTTTTTTGAAAAAGAAACCGAAGCCTCCCAATGATACGCAAGCGACGAAATGCACTCGTAAAGAGGACAATCTGATCGGGAGGTTGACACCTCGGTTCGGCCAATCGCGACTATATGGGCGAGGACAGTCGCTTGAACTTGCGCCTTCGGAAAGTCGCAGCAAGCGTATAGAGCGATCTGCGACTACAGTTAACATACAAACGAGACCGATCAATTCTTCTATAGTAGCCAACTTCAAGTTTCTAAGTTTACATAGGTACGGTCCGCAGGACGATGTGCAGTGTCATGCGTTTGTTCGTAACGAAGATACCGAACACATGCCTAAAGGGGACTCCTCGAGTGGAACTACTGAAAGGGAACCACCTGGAGAAACGGGAGAGACTATAGAGTATATAGTGAGTGAAGAAGATGCCTTGAACAGTGCCGCGTGGCGACGCAATCACGGTCCTTTACTGGCCGCTGCCACGAACGATATTAGACTGTAGAGGTTGTGGTGTATGTTTACTTGTGCAGTATTTGCATGTGTGCGCTGTGACGTCAGCAATATTGGTGCGATTGTAAATTAACTTGACTAGGATTATATTTATTTTTATATTTTTTGAACTCGTTTTCGTCGACCTGAAGTATGTGCCTCCTCTAGTTAGTAATGGTGATGTCTGTATGAATTCTGGCTTCTTGTGTCTATATTATGATAGTGTTAATACTCAAAAGGTGCCAAGTGTTGTGCGACCTCGTTATCGAACGAATAGACTCATTCCTCAAGCACAATAATATTACGAAACTAAATTTAATACTAAAGAATTAGATATAATTTTTTCTGTGATTTGTTTCACTGTCCAATGTTGAATCTATCGTAACAAAGTAGAAACTGTTAGCGTAATTGTACATTTTCTCGTATATTTAATTTTAAGGAAGAATGCCATGGTGTAAATAATTTGACTGGTTGATAGGCTGTCGCCCTCAGGCCTTATTCGCAATATATTAAACGGAATTTATTTTTCGTTTCTCTTTTATTTAATATAAAAATACTGAACTTTAAATTATATACTATATTTTATATGTAAGATAGTATTTACATGCAAATTCACTGTAAATTTTGATGAAAATTAACAGTTTTAAATGTTCAATTAAATAAGTTAAAAAAATGCAATTCGAGCTTATTGTCTGCATATTAATTATAAACTAATTGTACCTATGTACTTAAAGTTGATATTATTATAATAATTATTTCATTTGTGTTTACAAATGTTGTAAATAATTATTCTAAATATTTGAAAAGACGGGATTTAGCGAAATTATCACGCCTACAACCACGGCCTTCGGGAACACCATTACTTAAGCTGTGATTCTCTTTATAAACTCAAATCTTATTTTATGTAGTAATAATATAGTATGTAAAGAAGCAGTCAATTGTGCTAATGATTGTACACATTAGACATGAATGTTGTATAGCTATGTAAACAGTACATACCTATTATTAACAATTTCAAAAATGTTTATTATATTTAACTTCCAACAGTAATTTCACTAAAATTCTTTAAAAAATTGAAATTATATTCTAAATACATTGTTGTTCTATTTCTACTGAGAATTAATTTATAAGAGGTATATCGTTAAGAAGAAATAAAATAATGTACAAATTAATATTTCTTTAAAATATAATGATATGTTATTTATTTCACCTATTTTCATTTTTTGTTAATAAAATCACACAGTAGTATAAACGTTTCCGTATTATTATTCAGTACTTCTATACACATTAATCATTGTCTCCCATTTTTAGTATATTATGATAACAGGTAGGGGCAGATTTCACTATGTAACAACGCGTGACAATTTGCGGGGTGAAGGGATGTTAAGCCCCGTCCACTTTACACTATTTACATCTACCGATAAATAGTAAAACTGCTGGAATCGTTCCATATCGATGTTGCAATGTAGTTTAGCTACCTTGACGATAGATGGCGGCCTGATCACAAAATGATTATAAACTAAAAATAATATTTTGGCGATTAAAATTTCTTTAGGTCTGAATGCAAAACAAGTTTCAGCACTTTCGTATACTATATACACATAGGCATACTATAGAGCGGGCATTGGGAACATTTATATACAAAAACTTTGAGATAGTGCCCGTTTGGCACCCTCTAGCTAAAAATAGCAAAACAACCCTAAGCATTTATTAAGACAACATTTTAGCTATTCCCCAGTAGGTGACGTTAATAAATATAACGTCGTTTTAGGAATGTTACAGTTTCGATATCAAAGTTTCATATTTAGAGCCATGCTGCAGCTATATTATGGTTGTAGCACAAATGGGTCGGCTCGACCGGGGAAGACCACGCTCTCACAGAATACCACTGTAAAATAGCAGCTTAACGCTGCTATGTTTCGTATGGTGAGTGTAGAGAACCGGAGACCCTTTTTACTGGAAATGAGGCATTCCATCTTAGTCCTCACGGGTGACAACGCATCTGCATTTTGATTCGTAATCGAAGATAGATGTAGATGTCTATGGGCCACAGCAACCACTTACCATCAGGTGGATTGTGTGCTCGTTTGTCACCCTTTATCCTATATAAAAAAAAAAAGTATCGATAATGTTGTTGAAGATTACTAAGTTTGAAATGCTTTTCGATATAATAATAGGGAATATACATGATTGTTTTATTGTATAAATCTATTTATCATGACTCCATCACACGAAAAAAATCATTAACTTTTTACGCCCCTTTAGTGTCATGAAATAAAATATTTAATTCCCAATAACTAAGAATCAATTCAAATAGCAGTCACTTTGGTTGCCACCTTGGTGGCATGACGTCACTCGGTTCATTAGCTGCTATAATAATAGCAAATGAATGATCTGTCGGCGTTAAAGACAAATCGAGAAACGCCAAATCTAATAAGCGAGCGCCTCTATGTTTTTAAATTCGTTTCTATTATAAAAATACACTTCAAATCTAAAATATTTTAGGAAAATACTGAACTTAAAAGCCGTTCCACGATTTTTCACGTTTCATCAGCTGCGGTACTTAAAGACAAGTTTTTACCTTATTTTCTAACTCAGGCTTAACCTAAAACTTTTTGCATCTAATATCTTTAACATTACAAATTGTTTTTAATATAAGAAACGTATAGCCCTCTCCTATCACTGTAAGCGAGGATCTATTATGACTTTGTCCTTAAAAACCACCAGACAATGAAGCCCGGCGTAAAACCACCAGACAATGAAGCCTGGTATGTAAAAGAGAAGACTTGATGTATTGCTAAACATCAACACAGCAAGTATCCTCAGCATGCTCATAAGCAACACAGAAAATCTCATCAGCATACCTAAAAAACATTTCCTACACTTGCTCCATATAAAGTAGGCTAGTTAGCATAGTTGGTATATGCTACTTTTTTTTGTTGGTATGGATACAGTATCGTTGACTGTTTTACCTCCTTAAATATTGTAAAGGATAAATCGGCATCCTGTATATTTTTTTATCGATAATCCCAATTGATAAACGTCGTCAATCACTAACTTTAAAATTGGTAAATAAATAGTGACGTTTACTGGATAAGAGAGGGCGCTAATTACAATAAAAATAAATGTTCTAGAACAATCTATTAGAAATAATAAAATTTAAAGATTATTCGGTAAATATATGTTATATTTACGATAATAAACCGAAATCACGTTCATTTTTTGCTTCATATCGTGACTAACAATATCTTAATGCACAACCGGGCATATTTTCTTTAAAAATATTTTTTAAATATATGAAACGGATGCGTCTTGACTTTTTGACGATGTCACTAACTCCGTAGGAGTAACGAGTAATAGTGTTCTGTGGTCACTAAGACTAAACGACAAAAATCGGAGATATATCCTATAGGATATAAGTTACAGATGACAATTTAGCTGCTGATGTCCGGTCTATTACTACTACTACTACTACTACATAAATGTCTTTGTTAATTATATTTGAAAGCCGATACAAAGAGATTTTTCTAGAACTATTTTAATCAATTAGGTATAAAATTACTTACAAATGAAATGTGATGCTATCCATAGCATTAGAGCGTCTATCCGAGTAGTTTTTACACGATAAATCACAACACTTCATCCTTTTCTTCTTAATACTACGAAAATATAGTGAGTGGGGGGAAGATCGAACGGTTTTTTGATGAAATGAGCAGTTTTGTGTTCAAACACTTGTGTTACCTTATAACACGTCTTGTAGAACAGTACATATTAACTTAAGCTAAAATTATATCTATAGTGAATAAAGTACAAAGAGCATATTTTTATGTCATATCCATAAATCCCTGTTATGTTAGTGTTAAAATAATTACAATGTTTTGATCGAAAGAAAAAAACACGCGGTAAAATGAAACGGTGGTGGGGAAAGATCGAAGTAGTTTCTAAAATCGTCCAAATGAATGTCAGACGATATTGACGGTCAGTAGGCTACAATTTTAATTGTCCTGACATTTCAGAACTGTCTATAATATCAAAATACCTTCAAATAACACAGATAACACAAATTATTTGTTTTTTATATTTCAATCTTGCCCCGCCGGGGAAAGATTGAACTAGAGGTTCTCAAACTTTTCACTTTACTTTGATACAGAAAATAAAAGATATCAATTATATAAAATCTTTTATTGTTAATGCCAAGATAATTTTAAACACAATTACGTACGTACACCTTTTACCATTTTCGTCAACAAAATAATATGTAGCACAAAACGTAAAAAATTAAATATTTCAAAATTTCAAAAATAAAACATAAATTTTTTCAGGTACATTTTGAGAACATGAGACCATTAGTATGACTTTTGAAAACGGGGCAAGATGGAAACTTGTATATGTTTATCTTACCCCGTCAAATATTGGCGGGTAAAGACGGAATGTTACCATAAATCCTAAAATACAAAAAGTAGCAATATTTAGACATAGCAACATAACTACCAATTAAAATAATAAGTATGTATACAAATAAAAAACTCGTACCTACCTCGTAAATGCAGTTACACGACACGGGGTAAGATTAAAACACACGACTTGCTCGCGTAAAATTCACAGCGTAGATAATTCCCTTATAACACACAAGCTATCCCTCAAAACGACAAGTATCCATTGAGGTGTGGGACGTAACAAAATGGCGGTCTTATGAATGTTGCCTGCATTGGATAAATTACACAAAATCTGTCTTTATTGATGCCTTTTTTGTTACCCCATTTTTCATCTTCCCCCCACTCACCCTACACCGATTTGCGATTTTCAACACATAAGCACACAGAACGAACGCTGACAGTATACTAAGTAAAGCCACGCCCACTAAGATGACGTCAGGCTCTACTTAATCACAGTGCACAGTTGCTTATGCCGTCTCCTCTTTGTATTTGCTTCGTGGGTAGGGGACTGAAATTTCATTCTAAAGGAAATATTCTGCCATAGACACACATTCTCTGCAGAAAAGAAATCATGTGT